AAACCTATTATTATTATTATTATTATTATTATTATTATTATTATTATTATTATGATGATGATGAAAATACACATTATGTTCATCATTTTAATTCCTAGCTGTCAAATAAATTTATTTTATGGCATTTTCCAAAATGTCCTTTTCTGGAAAATAATTCCCCAAGAATCGGAAGCAGATGTCTGAAATACATCTGGCGAAAGACATAAATATTTAAGGAAACCATCGAGTTTACATGCCAAAGCATTACACGATATTCCTATTTCTCAATGAAAAAGAAAATGCTGAAAAAAAAATGCTCAGTTCAATCTATCGTTCCAGAAAGTACCTGGCTCATTCTATTGTGCTTTATCATTACAAGAGTCAGATTAGGCCAAAAAATGAGTATTGCTGCCATAACCAGTATAAGTCCATCTTATAGGCGTGTATTATTCCCAAATCTGCGGTGTGTTTCTCACAAATGAAACGGCTCGAATCCATCGCCACTTTATCGCTGATTTACACTCTTTCTGTCTTTTATTAACGACTAGTAGTAGAGCCCGGCGTTGCCCAGGGATGTAACAGTAAGAGATCATCGACCATCATAAAGAGTGAAAAATAAAATTGACAAAGATTATTGTTTAAGGTTGAAGGACACGCATGTCTTAATTATTTTTTTTTTTTTACGAATTGGTCAAACCCAAACTCAAACAAAACATTGTTTTCTAATCGTTATGCGTCTACCGATTGAATAGAATTTTATTATAAACAATTGTCTTGTAAATGGAATTTTAAAGCATTCTGAAATGTAAAAATAAAGAATAAAGAAACAATGGGTTTAATAAAACAATGATATGAGTTGTTTTCATGCCAAAAAAAAGTGAAGTTTATTTGAAATCGGTTAAAAATGTAGGAAATCCGATCCTATATATAAACGAACACACACACACACGCACGCACACACACACACACACACACACACACACACACACACACACACACACACACACACACACAAACAACACTGTTTTATAACAAAACTCTGGGTTTAACCAGACCTCAGGGTATTATAATCCATTGCTAAAATGTATAGACTCATATTGTCCCCTTCCATTCTTTCAAGATGCCTCGTAATCGTGTTTTCAATTGATTTCGTGCAAAAACAATTGTGTTTTGGAAATTTTGGCGCTGTTAGAACCACCGCAAGGTATTTTTTACGCAGTCCTGTGAAGTTTTGTTGAAATCGGTTAAAAATGATCCTATATAGGAAAACTGATCCTCGACATGAGTCAAAACACACACACAACACACACACAACAACCTGGTTTTATAATAAGTATAACTCGATATGAGTTGTCCCCTTATTGAATTTTTTTCATTCTCAAACTTGATGCCTCGTAATCGTGTTTTCAAATTGATTTCGATCATTTGCTATAAAAAAACAATTGTATTTTTTGTAATTTTTGGCGCTATTAGAACCATTCATAAAAAAGTAACTTGAATTTAACAGCACGTCCTGTGAAGTTTTGTTGAAATCGGTTAAAAATGTAATAAAAAAAAAATTTGATCCAATATAGAAAACGAACAGACACACACACACACACACACACACACACACACACAATCTGGTGTTTTATAACGCCGTTTCTGCCTGCTTGTAACACTTTCAGATCATTAGTAAAGATTTGTTGCAGATGAGCACAATTTATGGAAGGAGCTAAAAAATTAGATGTTCAAGACTGCGATCTTTTGTCTGAAATCAGGGGTTGAAAAAATTGAAGGAAAAACAACTTTCAGTACACGCAAAACATATATAAGATATCAGAGATAGAGTGTGAACATAGTCAACACTTAGAGGCGAAGCAGTCATTTAGTCATATACCTATCGGCTCCAGATATTTCACAACATTTCAAAAAAAAAATACGTTAGAATTTCAGTTAATTGTTCTTGTTCCATGGCCATGCATCTTTTCTGATATCTCAGTTTTCACTTTTGAATGTCTATTGAAACTCTGTAATGCTCGTTGTAGTAGAGACTTTTTAGATTCAACGCCATCGATCAATACTGATATTGTCACAGAAAACTCGTAAACAATGACAACAATCCATTGCTGGGAAAAATAGCCTGAAAAGGACTCAATTCTATCCTTTCCTTTGTAAACAAGACCACTAGTTCCTTGTGTCATATTTCTTCTTTTTTGTTCCATCTTACATTTCTGTGTTTTTTTATTTTAAATTAAATCTTTTTTGCTTAAAATGCCTGAAAATTTGAATGCTCGATTTTAACCATGTCTGGTAAAAAGCTTCAAACTTTTATTTCTGTAAAGATCTTTTATATATAAACAGAGCAATATAATTATTTAAATTATTCTTCAAGCGAAATTTTTTTGGAATCCAAAAAAATTTCGCTTGAAGATGAAACAGAGCTTATTTTAACTCAATTTAATTTAAATAATTATATTGAAGTTTTCGGCTCTTGTTTTGAAACATGAGACTTCTTATGTAGCGTTTTGGAATCATATTTTAAATAAATAATTATATTTATGCTCTACTTTTGTATCGAGCACTATTTTAAAAAATAATAACTAAAAATACTAAGAGACTTTTGGATTATTTACCCAACCAGTTCCTTCCTATTTTCTATAAGTTTTCACATATATATATATATATATATATATATATATATATATATATATATATGGCTAAATATAGTTTTATGGTGTGCTATATTTATGGGATAAAGTGGTCAATATCAGAGATAGAGCGTTTGTAAATATAATATAAAAGTGAACATTGAAGTCAAGAACTGACTTGGACGCAATCGTCAGGTCGGCCTGACGATTGCGTCCAGCATGAAACAGCCTGTCGCTTCCTGATTGTTGACTTAATGTTTATTTATATATATATATATATATATATATATATATATATATATATATATATATATAATGGCAATACTTTATTTTAAAAATTCAAAGTAAAACGAAGTATTATACCCAACTCTTTCCGATTTTACAAGTCTCCGAATGGACAAACCAAAGCTGACAGTGAGCGTAAAGTAAGTAAGGCATATACAAGCCTGACCTTGCACTTTTATGAAAATCATATGATACGTGATAAAACAATGGTGTTCCATACTCTCGTATGTTTGAGTTACTGCATTTTGTCGACATTTGAAAAATGATAGTCGAGTATCGACCCAAGCCCAGCAAAATCGAGGACAATCTCCTGGATCAGTTCCAAAATGAAAAAAAAGGGGTAAAATGAAACATTTGGTGCAAACGATAGGAAGTACTTATTCAACAATATTGCAACATTTACTGTTAAAAAGCATATCGATCAAAAGACGCTAGCATCGGGTTGTACTTTTAAAAATGGTCCGTTTATCTACGGATAGCGTGACGGAACTGACCACAGGAAGATAAATGACCGAATCGAGTACAAATTCCGGCAGAGTCTGTTGCCTTCGCTTTCAATCTTGGAGAGTCCTATTTTGGTGCAAGATCTCCGATGAATCTGTTTTTTAATAATGTGCAGTGGGCATTACTGCTACGTTATGAAGATGCATCGTTCGCCTTTTGTTTCGTATGGAAAGAAATAGCTAACAAAACCCCTCTAAAAAACGCAAAAAACTGAGAATGAAAGAAAATGAGAAGACGTTAATGAGGAGAAAGGACAATAAAAGAACACATTTCAGGGAGACATACAATTGCGATTGAGGTTTCATTTAAATCTTTGAAGACTGTAGCTGACTGGGAAGCAGGAAACCAGGAGAGAATTCCACAGGTAAAGAAGTGCAAGAAAAGAAACTGGTAGAATAGAAGTGACGATTACATCTTGCTATTTCAATGATAAAACGATGAGACCTAATTGCCAATCTAGCAATACGCTTAAATTCCTGCAGTTTAGGTACCAAGGAGGAGAGTGACATTTGTAAAAATACAAAATGTGGCACAAGGCCAAAATGGGGAATGGGGAAAAGGACGGTCTTCTTCTGTCTTAACGTTAGACTTAGCTAGCCACAAACACTGACCCAAACATACTACAATATTCCTAACACCAAAACAACTCATTCTTATTCACCTTTCTTACTGCATTCACCATAGTACCTCATTGTCTCTATGAAAATCCTAACTAGTTCCCATATGTAAAATTTATTGTCTGTGTGGAGAGGGGAATAAAATAACAATTTAAAAATCTAAGCCCCAATGAATATTTACAAAAATGAACAAAACTACTTACGAGAAACTAAAGAAAATAGTGTTAGTAATAACCTCATCACAATCCTTAACTGTTCCAGAAACATCAGTTAACTGGACGAAATCAATGCGGGACTTCACTCATTCAAACACAACAGCAAATATGAAAATCACACCCGAAAAGAAAGGCGCCCCGCATCCACCAGAGAACTAACATCATTGACCATCTAACGAGGAGAGCTCTTTAGAACACTTGCTATGGATATATTTATAGAAAAGACTGGGAAGTTACTTCACGGTGGTGGGAAAGTGACTGAAGTCGAGATGCCAGGTTAGGACCGATAAGATTACATACACTTGGCTAATCCCTCGATGTTGTTTAATCCTGTATTTGTGTTAATCTTGTATTATTTTATAAGCCTAAATTGTTGGCTCCTAATATCTCGCCTGTATATTTACAATTATCGTGGCTTGGTGTTGTTAATCCAATGTTTGTTAAATAAATCGCTGTTACTGTTAGAAATCGTTATATGGTTGCCAGTTGACGTATTGTCTTTCCTTAAACAATGTTGAAGTCAATCCTTAAGGATGGTCTGCCTAAGTGTATTAATTCTATTATTACTATTTTAAGTGTCAGTGTGACGCTGGCTATACGGAAGAACCACTGATGTTCTGCCTAGTAATATTAGTTCCATTGTTAACATATTAAATGTCAGTGTGACGCTGGCTAAACAAAACGAACCACATATCGATTGGAAAAAAGAATGAGTCAACATGTACCAACATGTATGCGTAAGGGTCAATTGCACAATTTGCATAACACTT